CTGTAATGCCACAGCACTCTACCCAGGGGGACAGCTTGAGGCTCTGTCTCAAAAAAAAAAAAAAAAAGAAGGTAATTAGAATATCCTTTCAAACTTTTTAGTTGTAAACACCGTTAATAATCACTTTAAGAATTAAAGATCTTTGGTTTTTATCATAAAGAAAATCTATGAACAACATCAATATCTGAGTTTTCTTTTCACTGCCCAGAATTTTGACAAATTTTAAAGACACTTCTGCCTCTTTTTCTTACAATAACTGAAGTCTATATTTTCACTGGATATATGTTCTCAGTACAGCTTCATCTTATTAGTTGAAATCAGGTTAAGTGGAACATTATCAAAGAAGCGACGCTCCGGCCTGAGGGGACAAGGCGGGGAGCGCCTTCCTAGACCAATCTCTCCAGCCCTGCTGGGAGCTGTCCCTTTGAGTCCTCAGGTATCATCCTTTCTCTGTCTATGAATCCTCAACCTCTTTCTCTTACTGGCAGTTTCTCAACAGGGTTTAAATAGGCTAACATCCCTCTCACAAAACAAAACCACCCTCAACTGCAAAGATGCACTAGTCTGGCACTGACCGGATTCTGGCATGAAACATTTTCTAGGAAACTAGGGGTGCATGACTCTGCCCCTCAACTAGGTATCTGCAGATAGTGAGGAAATAATTGTCAATTCTGTTCCTGCAAAAGTCGCTATGTTTCAGAAGTATATTAAAGTACAGCAGAACCTTAACAGTTGACCACCTCCCTGCACTGACCACCTTAAGTTGACCAAATTTTCACAGACTGGACATGCCCCACATGTGCATACCAGCACAGTGGGCCCAGCTCCTTACGTTGACCACCTTTGTTGACCAGTTTGTTACAATCCTTTGGTCAATTTAGAGGTTCTACTGTATTTAGAGAGGAAATGCTGGGTCTGCGATTTACTTTGAAATACTTCAACCAAAAAAAAAAAGGCAAACGTGGTAAGATGTTAACTGTGACATGTTAACCGTGATGGGTATAGGCTGTTAGTTTCCGGCATGCCTGAACATGTTCATAATAAAAAGTAAAAATCAGCACAACAGCTTCGTTAGCCCTAAAGGTCTCTCTCTCTCCTGACTGTCGATGCTTATCTTCTGTTCTTACCTCTGTCCGTTCTGTAGCTTGTCCCACTCTGGACTCAGCCCTGCCACCCCTTCAGAGCAACGTGACCCTTGGGGGATTCAATCTGACAGGCGCCTCCCATCTTTCTCCCACCCAAACCCTCTGTGCATGTGATGCTCTCACACAGGGCCTTTCCTGACCCGTGTTCTGTCCCTGGCTTCTGAAACAGCGTGTTCTGGTTGTCGCCCTTCCACTCGGGCCCCTCATTTTCCTGCTCTCCGGCCACTTCTCCCTCTTCTTTACGCTTATTAAGCATGGGACTTCCTCAGAGCCTGGCCTGTGTGGCTTCTCATCTTACTCTTCCCTGTTTACCGGCTCCCTTATCCACCCCTGTGCTTCGTTCAGTTTCCATCTGTAGCCTCAATCAACTCCCAAAGTTATGATTACATTGTCAGGGAATAACCTTTCCTTTGAGTTTCACATCCACATAAGATTTACCTAGTTTCACACAGCTTCTGTGCCAACTGTAAGCTTTACGAAGCTGATACCATTATCTATTTCGTTCTGCATAAAGTCCCCAGCACGTTAGCAGGACCTCACATGGAAAAAGCACTTAATATGTAAGTGTGGTATAAATAAACAAATGCAACAAGTTAAAAACACTATTCTTTCAGATACTTTCTCTGCTATCTTTGTAAGTACTCTATATAAGTAATCCCATCACTCCCACCTCCCAGGTGGTATAAATATGAGAACTCTGAATTTTGAAACCAGAAAAAAAAAATCCAGTGTGATTTATGATGAAAGGGAAGCCCAAGATTTTTCTCATGATAGCCATGATAAATGAAGGACATTACACAAGAAAAAAGTAGGAAGTAGGAAAAAAGACAGGCATACGTTGACCACGAAGGGAGAAAAGGGGAGGGGTACTGCAAAGTAATTGTTCAAGAATGTCAAATCCTATAAAAAATAGCTGTCACAGGGTTAGCTTGGAGGAGAATTTGAAATTGGACAAAGTTTAAATGTTCAGACTTCTTACTGCACATGTAAACTGTATTAACATGTGAGGAATGTGGCTTTGGGGAAAATAGAGAAGAATCATGACCCCAGTAATATCAATTTGTCACTAAGCAATCAATAGTAAGTAAGAAATTATATTTGAAGATTTATACTGAATTCTCACTTTAAATTCTCCAAACTCCCCAAAGTTAGTGTGTGCTTACAAAACTGATAAAAGGTGACTTCTGTGCACAGAATCAGGTACACAGCAATTAGAGTTGTCAGACCCCCAAAGGGGAGGGGATCTTTGTGCATTAATACTGCTTAACTAGCTGTGAGACTCCCAAGTGAACAAGGGGGAAACTTGCCGATCTTTAGATGTCTTTCCTACTCTGAAGAATTGAAGATGAGGAAGTAGGGCCTGACGGTGACTGATGAAGGAACAAGTGAAAACCAGGATCCTAGGGAGAGGGTGCAGAAGGAAGGGTTGAGGGCAGGAGACTTCCACGAACACCTGCTGGTGCCCAAAGTGCTCTGAGAGCAGGCTGCCATCTCAAATGCATGACCCAATCTAAAGACTTTCCAAAAATGAATAGTTCTTCATATGTCTCTCCACGTACATCTTTGTTAAAAAAGAGGCAATATTCTTACAAACATAAAAGAAACACTGAAAAAAATATATCTTATGTTGCTTTTAGGATCACAGCTCTAAGCACTCTTCTTTCAAGAACATAAACATCATAGACAAATTCACAAAATAACTTGTAAATAAATGCTTCAAAAATAACAAAGTGAACCAAGGCACCCCAAAGTCAAGCTTTTCTTTAATCACTTGTTATTTGGTATGTGCTGCTGCTTTTTTTAAAATAAGTTTTAAAACATCCTCATTACCTAGTCACTTCATTTAACTTTGTTGATTCCATCCTAAAACAATCTAAAGAATCTCTGCTTCCTCCCCTGACTTTTTTTGAGACAGAGTCTCTGTTGCCCAGGCTAGAGTGCTGTGGCATCAACCTAGCTCATAGCAACCTCAAACTCCTGGGGCTCAAGTGATCCTCCTGTGTCAGCCTCCTGAGTAGCTGGGACTACAGGCACCCACCACCACACCCAGCTAGTTTTTCTATTTTAGTAGAGACAGAGTCTCACTCGTGCTCAGGCTGGTCTTGAACTCCTGAGCTCAAGCAATGCTCCTGCCTCTGTCTCCCAGGGTATTAGCATGACAGATGTGAGCCATCATGCTCGGCCTGCTTCCTTCCTTCTCCCTGTTTAAATTCCAAGTCATAAGAATGGAAAAATAACAATTTAATACTTAGGGCCACTCATTAAGAAAGGTATAAATATTTCTTTCACTTTCAACCACAGCCTTGCTGTGGCTACAAGGGACTCCTTCCCCACAGGTGTCCCTATCTGCTATAGAAATGTCTCGCCTTGCAGACTCCCCAGGTGCAATATTCTAATGCTGCCTGGCAGGCTCCTCTCTAGAAGTAGGTGACTCTGCTGACTCTGGTGGATATACGGCTGCAAATGGACCCAACACTGAGCAAAGCTGGGCATCCCGCACATGGCTCAGGAATGAAGAGCACACATCAGACAAACGTGCTCGTTCTTTTGTGAAAGCACAAGTAGCGTCTACACAATGCTACAGTGT